GCCCCCCCCCCAACACACCCTCCCCCGACCGGGGAGGAGGGAGCATCATCCTTCTCTTCACTTGCAGAGGACGTCTGCGTGCACCTGTCGAATGGACTGTCTCCACAGGGTAAGTGCATGCTCATCTATCTATCCATCCATCCATCCATCCATCCATCCAATTCAAGCGGCCCATCCATCCATCCATCCATCCATCCATCCAGTTCAAGCGGGATGCGTCCTCTTTTGAGCGGCATTGAATGCACTCAAATGCAGCGAGATCGCTGCAACTTGTGGCCGGCTGCATGCAACACTTACACGTGACGTGTGACTACCCATTAAAAGTAGGTGATGGGAACGCTTCGAGACCTTCAGTTTGCCCTGCAACTAAAGATTGAGGAGCTCCGTCAGAGGGACACCCTGATCGATGAACTGGAGCTCGAACTCGATACCAAGGATGAACTCATTCGGAGACTTCAGGAGGAACTGGATCGCTACAGAGCCTCCGTTGTCTTACCGGGACCCTCTGCAGCCAGCGCCGGTCGGTGTACAATTTTCTTCTTTGGATGGTTTGCCTCTTTTGAGGCACCAGTATGATTTTTTTTTTTTTTTTTTGTCATTGCAGCCTGCTCTAGTCATGGTGCTGACCTGCGAGTTGCGAACAAGAAGACCGTCATTTCAGAGTCCTTCACTCTGGATTCGACGAATTGCTTCACCTTGTGTGACAAAAATCAGGAGTGAGTAAACCGTTTTTCTCCTCAGGAAGAAAAAAAAAATGCCGGGGTGCAATAACTGGTCTCCGGGGTGTCTTGGAGACATTACTGCAAAAGATCCTTGAAGGACTTCAACCTCCAATTAGTTTGAGTTTATAACGTTCCCCTGGGAAGTGTCAGAAAATAGGGTTGAGACGCAAAATTAATTGTCCTTATTTTTCATCTCCTTCCGTGGCGGCATCACGAAACACACACACACACACACACACACACACACACACACACACACACACACACACACACACACACAACCGAACTGCACTCCACAAATGGACCGTGCTCGAAGCGGGTGACAGTAAATGATGTCGATTGTACCTCGAGTCACAGAAATCATTGCAGACTCTGATGACGCATCACTGACCCCGGAGCATCCCTTCCCTCTGCGCTTCCAGGAGTCAGAAGTTGATCCAGGCCGCTTTTTTGAAAAGTCACCTGTTGAGGAACCTCAACGAAGATGAAACGAGAGCCGTCACGGCCTGCATGCAACTCACGGCTGTCCGTCACGGCTGCTGCGTGATCCAGCAGGGAACCAGCGGCGGCTCGCAGGCTTATGTTGTACAAGGTAAAGCCGTGCTCATCGCGCGGCAACGTTAGTCACGTCGGAGGATTTGCAAGGTGCTTGAAATGATTAATAGCGAGCGCGGACACCGTCCTCAAGACTCCTGCTTTGGCATGAAACGGCTTTTCCCGTTTTCTCTCTCATCATGCTCATTGCTCTCAGATGATGTCTCGGAATATTAAATCGCAATTGTCACATTGAAAGGGGAATCATCTCGACTAGATTCTTTTTCAAAATTGTTGAGCGAAGTGAAGCAAATGGATGAATATGACCTGTCTTGTCTCAGGTTGCCCGAACAAGTGTCTAATATACAATGCGGCCGCTTGACAGCTGAATAGTTTGAGGTGCAGAGGTCACTTATTGTTTGATGTTTTTGGATGTAATGCACACTGCCGATGATCGCCGCCTTGACCGAGTGTGTGTCATCACAGAGGGGAGGCTAGACGTGACGAAAGATGGACAAAAATTGTTCGCGATCGAAGCAGGGGAAGTATTCGGAGAGGTGGCGCTGCTCTACAACTGCACGCAAATCTACTCCGTCACAGGTATGTATGTGTGTCTTGTTTTCTTGTTTTTTTTTTTAAAAATATATTCAGGCTGCGATAACTAAGTCAACTTGTTGAGGCATTTCAATGTTTAGATTAGGTATGGATGTGATTCATTTTCTGGGAAAAGGGATTATAAGAAGCAGGGGCATTGCGGCTAGAGGTCACAGAGAACACCACGCCGACTGAATGGTTTCCTGGCATACTGTATGCGTTGAATTTAAAACAGTCCATCTGTTCCCTGCGATGCCACATTCAGCAAAAAAAAAATCTGAAAATCTCAAAGGTGGTCCGTGAATTTCACACTTGTGACAGGATTTTTGTTTGGGTAAATGACGGGCTATCATGACAGAGGATTGCAGGGACCTTCTGTCAAGCAACTCGATGTGCATGTGACCCGCTTCCGCAAGGAAATAGGCTGCTGCAGATCATCCGAAATTGGAAAAAGAACTTTGTTTGCCCTCTTTATCTGGCAACCAGACGCCATGACAACGCTGCACGAACGCCCTTTGCAGCATGCCCTTCTCTAATAGCTTTTCTTTTTTTTTTTTTTTTTTATCAGCATCAGAATTATTTGTTTGCCATCTGTGATCTTGACAGATGGAACAAGATGTCACCTTTGGGAAGATCACATTAGCATAGCACAAGCCAGCATACCAACAGGAGCTCAAATGTTATGTGAAAGTTGTGATTTACACTGTCGCTGCGGTATAAATTCAACTTAATGTTGATTACTGTGGTTGCAGATTGCAGTCGTGTGAAATGGCGTAGTCATTAACCTGCGATTGTACCTAATGTTGTGACCGCCGAATGTAAATGAGCCTCCACTTGTGCTTAACCTTCTGTTGAATGCATTTGTGATCATTCATCCACAGGAATACTTTCCATTGTTCAAGTGACCTTGGAAATATGTCTGGAAGTATACTTACTTCAATACGCGACACAAGGGAGGCAAACATTTTAACACACACACACACAAAAAAGAAAAACAAAACTGCAAAATCTGAAACCAACATTAATACATTACATTAAGACTCTTGCTTGTTTGAAGGCCATGTAGTGACAAAAAAAAATACCCCAAGGTTAAAAAGGTATATTTTACTGCTGATTATAATGATAGAATGATGACTCGAATTCTCGGTAATATACTGCTCTCATCACCATGACTACTGGGGGCGGAGCCTGAGACGAGTGACTAGATTGTCTTGTGTCAGCACAGCCAGGGTGCAGCAAAAAGAAAAAGTGGACCAGTGATGTATCGAGATCTACTCCTAGCCTTGCTGATAATGGCTTGAGAAACTTGGTGTGTGTGTGTGTGTGTGTGTGTGTGTGTGTGCGCATGTGTGTGTTACTATGTAAATAAAATGTACTTATTACGGCACTTCATGTATTTCAGTCATTGCAGTTTTTCCACTTACATGCAGCATAACAGCTAAGTGGTGCTTCACCGTGTTTGCTTTGAAAGGTGGGCTTTATGAACTGACCTGCATTCAGTTCGGATTCCTTTATGTATTCAAAATCCAAACCATTCAGTGCTTTATAGACCAGCCGCAGAATATTACAATATATTTTGCAGTCGTCCTGCGGTAGCTGAAAATTGGCTTTGGATCTTCACCCAGCTTAGCTTTCAAGTCATGGATGGAGAAACTCGGTTTGGGGTGCCAGATACAAGATTGACTTGAGTTTTTTCTTTCCAGTGAACATTTTACCTTTAGTTCATAGAATCGGTTTAAAACAGAATGGGAGACAGAGCTGTCAGCTGTATGCCTTTCATCTTCCAGGAAATGAAACTATCCCGCACAGCTCTCTTAATAATTCTGTTCTAATGGCGCGGTTAAGATATCGACCATCGCTGTCAATCAGATAGTGGACGCAATTTGAAAGTTCAGACAGTGGACATCTGCCGTCCCCGCTCACAGGCACCTTCTTTGAACCAGTGTGAGTGTCATTATTAATTCAAACATCCGGTTCCGACATCCGGAGATTTTAATTATAGTTTAGGGAAATCAGATTTATGGTAGATGTTCTTCTCCATTAATAATGTCCGCTTATGAATAATAAGTGTTCACATTTTTTTTGAGGCCCTTCACGCAAGTTTCTCGAGTAGAAGTCAACCTAATGTGTCCCCTTTGTCGTCTATCCCCCTTTTTTTTGCTCCTCAGCACAGTCGGACAGCAAGCTGTGGGTTATCGAGCGCAAGAGTTACCAGACTGTGCTCATGCAGAGTGGCCGCGACAGCCTCACGCGTACGTCGGAGCTGCTGAGCAGGTGGATGTCAACAATGGATGTCTTTTTTTTTTTTTTT